AGCTTATGCTCTAATAAATTTGTTAGTCTCTAAGGTGCCACAAGTCCTCCTGTTCTTCTTTTTGCGGATACAGACTAACATGGCTGCTACTCTGAAACCTTTCATACTATTTAAAAATACTCATGATCAGTGCACTGGAAAGATGATTTCTAGACAAGTTATGTGTCCTTTAATCTTCAGAAATATTACAGAATACATCCATATTTGAATTTTAGATATTGAAGTGTTGCCCATTTCTAGTTTGAGTTAATTTGATACTGTTTTATTATACTGTAAACTAAATCATTAAAGAGTTGTTACAAAAATCTCGATAAAATGGAATCTGCTTTGTAATGAGGCGAGGGGAAGAGATTGGTGAACAGAAATTAACTGGCAAAACAAAAGGTTATTTAATGTTAAGTTCCACTCTATTTTTAATGAGCAGCCAAAGTAGCATTACATTAAAAAAAAAAACCACCACACAGCTGCATGATATCCAGTCTTTTCATTACGTAACCATTTCCCAACAAGAAAAAAAGGCATACAGCACATATGCAGCCCCTTTACCTTTCATCTTCTGGCTTTGATTTAACAAGGCTGTCTAAATATGCTAAAAAGTGGGCAGGGTGATGTCTACAAAGCTGCATGATGTCAGAGGGCAAGATTGATGGGTAGAATTTGATCAAGGGCCTTACAGCTGTTTCCCCAAACTTTTCATAGAGCCTGCACAAACAAAAAAACATCTTTAATGCCAAATCACAGCAAGATTGCCACTTTGATAAGAAAATACAACCCTATTTCAAGATTCTAATTTATTTACCAGCATGTTTCAAGTTCCTCTGCTTGAACACTGCTAACACTAGAACTATCATTGCAAAAAAAGTCTCACAAAACATTGAAGAGGCTAGTGCGGATACAAATCCAGAGCAAGGCAAACAGAAGTGAATTGACAGTCTGAAATTTGTCATATTAACGAACATGAAAAAAAGAAAATCATGCACTACAGACCTTTGAGCATGTGCCAATAACAGAGGACTATCCCAGGGCCCCAAGTCATTTAACAGTTTTAATATTTTCAACATATCTCCATTTTCCATTGCCAAAGTCACTGGACTAGCGTGAGTCAGTTCTGAAACACAAAACATTGTAAATGTTTTAAGTTTTTATTTTTTTTCAACTCAGCTAGTTTAAAAAATAATTAAAGAAGAGAAAAATTTCCTTTATTCTTCCAAAGTCCCCATCATGGAAATGTATCTCTAGCCTGCAATGGAAGCAGGTGAGTAAGTCACACTTAAGCTGTGTGTTTGGCTTTGATTGAATTACCATCAATAGTGTTATGGCAAATTTAACATTATTAAATTGATTTTTTTTGTTAGGGAATTTTTTTTATATAAAAACTTCAAGATAAAGTTTACAGCTTCTTCTTCCCTTTAAGATTTAAGGCAACTTACTTTCTACTATATAAAGTTACATAACCCATACGAAATTTCAAAACATATGCTTCATGTGTACAGAACAGACCAACCTCAATTTATTTTCAACACCAACTGTTAATGAACCACAAGTTCAATTTAAAGCTTAAATTACCAACAAAGGACATTATTAAATTCATAGGAAGCAAACTGGGCACATAAGCCCTGATCTTGCGAAGCCTCACATCCTTAACTGCATGCATATAAGCAGTACCACTCAAATCAATGCAAGGATGCAATTAATACTTTTCTACTCTAAACTTCGCTTAAGCCAACATGGAACAGATTTCTGCATGCCCAAACATAGTCCTCCATCCAGCAAAGAACTTAAGCATGTGCTTAACTTTCTATGCTGAATCAGGGTTCTATCAATTGGTTGTCTTGAAGACCTGTCTATAAAGGTTTTGTTTCAGTTTTAGAAGTTGCATAGAGCAGACCAAATTCTGTTCCGAGTTACATCCAGGAAGCCTCATTCATTGGGATTGCAAAGGTATGAGAAAGGGCAGAAGGGACTTCTGGCGAAGGAAAGGATGCCTGCGGTGATCAACTGCATGCCAATATGGGAAATGCTTTTCCAATTCACTAATGATCTTCATAAATGTGCTGTTGTCCAAGCTTTGGAAACAAGCTGAAATATTTGAGCATACTTGTGCCTACTTAGCCACTGAGGATGCTGAAACTCTTTTCCTAATTTTAGCTTTATATGTTAAATAATTGAAATTATTTGAGTTCAACAGCACCACATTTTTTCAAGTTCTCTTTCAACACATTTGATTCATATCACTACCGTGTTCAGCTAACTGAAGCTGTACTATATATTAACTTGTTTAGAAATAATGTCACTGTAGTAACTAAACAAGAAGCATTTTCCCCTAGAAGTCACTGGTTCTTATTAACTTAGTTTTGTTTATTAAAAAAGCTAAAGAGCACTTGTTTCAGAGGTGATTCAGAAAGGAATGTCCCCTCAGGCTGGATTTTTTCCAGGACAAAAACCTAAAACTTAGCTTCAATTGGTTTAAAAGTGAAAACAAAAAGCCACCACAGTCATTACCTTTCAATCCTCCAATGTAAGTTTCCCAAACACTGGGACTGCTAGTGTAATTGATTGTAATACATCGCTTCAGTCTTTTTAAATCCAAGAGAAAGAAATAGTCCTTTATGAACCGACAAGCCAAGAGCCATGACACTGTTAGCTGTAAATCCTGTTCAGCACTTTCTTTCGCATTCCCATTCTCGCAAGGAAACACATTTAATTCAAAACATAATGTTGTCAACTCTACTAGGTCCTTTTGAATATCGCGTGCTATGAGACATGGAGGATACACTTGAAAAACATGGTCTGAGGCTCCCTTTGAATTGGCATCATTTTCACATACTTCTCTGCCAAAATGAGCTTCGCTAGTTTGATCCTGTGCAGTATTTCCTTGCAAGGCATCTGTCTGTCCTTTGCCTACATGATCTTCACTGTGTTGATCTGGTTCAATATTTTCTTCTAAAACCTCACTCTGTTCTTCAGCAAGCACATTCTTATCTTTCTTAATGGATAAGCAGTCATCTGAAAAGGAAGGTTCTTTGAAACCAAATGTTTCTTCCAGATACAAAAACCACTCCTGCAAAACTCCTCTCAAGCACTGTGGTTCTAACAAAACCAGTGGATCTTGTAGTTTGTTTCTGTAAAACAAAGTGGAAATGCGTTGCACTTGCTATTTAATAAATAGCCAAGAGATGCCAGAGCTGATTATACATATCAAATGGACAACTCAACCATTAGTATATTCCTAGATCAGGGGTGGGCAAACTTTTTGGCCTGAGGGCCACATCGAGGTTGCGCAATTGTATGGAGGGCCGGGTAGAGAAGTCTGTGTCTCCCCCAACAGGCTGGTCCCTGCCCCCTATCTGCCCCCTCCCATTTCCCGCTCCCTGACCGCCCGCCTCAGAACCCCCAACCCATCCAACCCCCTCGTGCCTTGTCCCCTGACTGACTCCTCCCGGGACCCCTGCCCCTAACCACCCCCTAGAACTTGACCCCCTATCCAACCTCCCTTCTCCCTGTCCCCTGACTGCCCCGACCCCTATCCACACCCCCGCCCCTGACAGGCCCACCGGGACTCCCACACCTATCCAACCCCCCTGCTCCCTGTCCCCTGACTGCCCCGACCCCTGACAGCCCCCCCGGGACTCTCAACCCCTATCCAACTGCCCTCTGCTCCTCATCCGCTGACCACCCCGTCCCAGGATCCCCTGCCCCTAACTGCCCCCCAGGATCCCACCCCCCTGCTCCCTGTCCCCCGACTGCCCTCCCGACCCCTATCCACATCCCCACCCCCCGGGACACCCACCCCCAACCCTCCCTGTTCCCCAACCCCTGACCGCCCCCAGAACCTCCGCCCCATCCAACCGCCCCCTCCCCCCCAGGAATCCCCACTTCCTTACCCAACCCCCCCCCGCTCCCCGCCCCCTTACCAGCAGCAGGAGCTCGCAGCCGCGCCACCCAGCCAGAGCCAGCTGCGCTCCGCACACTGCCCAGCACGAGTGGCGGGCCAGAGCATGGCCCGCACGGCAGAGGGTCTGTGGGGGAGGGGCCGGGGACTAGGCTCCCCAGCAGGGAGCTCAAGGGCCGGATAGGACAGTCCCACGGGCCTGATGTGGCCCACGGGCCGTAGTTTGCCCACGTCTGTCTTGATATCGGTCATACCAATGCTGTTTTCCTGACTAGTAAGGACAGTAGGAAAGTCACTATATAATTTCCCCAAGTATGCTTTTGGGGATCTCACCTCCAAATGATTCACGTAGCTTGCTAGGCAACCATCCAAGTCTACCTCTAATGCTACAGTCCTCTTTTTCTCAGCAAAACTCACAATGAAGTTATATTTTTAATGGAAAAAAGCCACTATTCAAGTAAGGACTTTCAGATAGCCTAGGGGAGGGCAAACTATGGCCCGCGGGCCAGATCTGGCCCTTCAGGGCTTTTAATCCATCCCATGGGATTGCCAGCCCTGTGGCACAGGGGGCTAAGGTAGGCTCCCTGCCTGCCCTGGCCCTGTGCCATTCCTGGAAGCGGCCGGCACCATGTCCCTGCGGCCCCTGGGGAAGGCGGGGCAGAGGGATCCATGTGCTGCCCTCACCTGCAGGCACCACCCCCCTGCAGGTCCCATTGGCTGTGAACAGGGAATCGCGGACAATGGGAGCTTCGGGGGTGATACCCGCAGGCGAGGGCAGCACGCAGCGGAGCCACCTGCCCCACTCCACCCCCGGGAGCCATTGCCGGACATGCTGGCCACTTCCAGGAGCGGCACAAGGCCAGAGCAGGCAGGGAGCCAGCCTTAGCCCCGCTGCGCGCCGCTGTCACCCCAGAGCCGCTTGAGGTAAGTGGCACCAGGCCAGAACCCGCACCCTGAACCCCTCCTGCACCCCGCACCCCAACCCCCTGCTCTGAGCCCCCTCCTGCACCTCACACCCCTCCTGCATCCCAACCCCTTGCCCTGAGCCCCTTCTTGCACACTGCACCCCCTTCCTCACCCCACACTACCCCACGTACCTCAACCCTCTGCCCCAGCCCAACATTCACAGCCCTGCATACGATTTCCCCACCCAGATGTGGCCCTTAGGCCAAAAAGTTTGACCACCCCGAGACAGCCGTACACCATGTGTGGATATACCTTCACAGCATCATTTACTGCAGATATTTACAATAAAAGCTTTCTGCCAGAGTAAAATATAGCTCTATGCTCTCTACTTACATAGCTTCTGTCGTTGCTATCTTGAGATCTCTTAGCCGGTCCTCTTCTTGAGGCTGGCTCTGTAGTTCCAAACTAGAAAGAAATATAAAGAAAAAATTATGCTATCTTTTTAAAACAGAGGGAGAAATAGCATTAATTCTGTTATGAGAAATGCAGTTCTGTTACTTTTCATGAGAAACAGACAAATGAGACTACAGTAATTATGGAGCTGCTGGACATGAGGAGCAGAAGAAAAATAACTTTTTTCATCTTGTCAAACATTACCTATGAGGGTTCTCAGATGTCAAGAAACAAAACTAACATTAAGCTAATACAAATTCATTGCCTAAAATATTTCAATGGATTTGCCAATTTAACTCCTGATAACAATTTAGCGCTCGTTCTTTATTCATACGACTAAGCCACTACAGTGTTTTCATATTCCTTTAAACAACCCAGTGTTGAGGGTGATAAAGCTGCTTGTTCCTCTTTTCATTAAAAATAGGATGTAGGCTTTAAAATTCACATGCATCAACACGTCTGGTTAGGTACCCAGAAGGGCAAGTAGGGAACTATATTAGTTTCCCCTTCCTCAACCACTCCAGCACCACAAATGTAAACTCTTAACATCCATTTTCTAGAAGAGTTTGACATCTGAACAAGCTTTGAGGTAAAAAATTGAGAAAGGAGGCAGGGGGTGGGGAGGGTGAGACCAGATGAATTCATGGAGCCTCTCTATACAGCCAGATGGAAAAAAAATCTCTATTCTATTGAAATGAATGGGATCATTGTGGAAGACATGAGTTCCCAGTCCTTTGGGCAGCTGGCACATTCGACTAGTAAAACCACGTGAGCTTGAACTTACTCGTTTTCATCTTCTTCCTGGGAGTATGCGGCTATACTAGCAGTCACTTCATGAGACTCATCATCATCTTTCATTTCCTGCCTCACTCTGACATCAGGACTCATATGAAGGGTGCCAATCTTTTCAGTAGTTTTGCGTACAAAGCTGGAAACACTAGGAGTCAAAAGTTCAAACAACTGAGATGGCAGTAGGAGAAGAGCTCATAGTCAACACAATAAATCTCGGTCTTTCTAGCCAGCCTCTCACTTCAGAAATCTTTATCATCTAAAGGAGGCAGGAAGAGAGGATGAGCACACTGGGAACCACCAAGTATATCAGTCAGTCAGAACTCAACATGAAAAAATGCATGTTGCACTCAGTAAGAAACATCTCAGAACTTATATGCTTTAGTCAAGTTCTTTACTCCTAAGATTTTCAGGCCCCAATGGAGATCACAAAATAAAACACTGGAAGTTTGGTTTTGTGCTGCCTGATAGAGGGGATTTTACAATTATGCAAATGCTGAGATTTTTATTTGCAATGAGAGAGGCTAATTTTTCCATGATAAAGCCTCTAAATAAGCACACGCACAAGAATTTTGTTAATTATCTTTTAATTTGGTCTATAATGACCTTCACAGTGACAAGAAAATTATTCAGGAAATGTACAGTTATGAAGAAATTAGAAAGCATTCTAAGTGGTCCTCTGTTTCAATTATCCATTCCTAACCCTTAGAATGTCTCATTCCAAAGGAAGGCCTACCTACATTCCAAAACTCAAATATATTGGTCCATAACACGCAAGAGTTCTTTAGAAAACCAGGATTCAAAAGCAACTTCAAGTTCTTGTGCTCCAGGTCAGAACAGGCTTAGCCATGTCGGAAAGAAAAAACAGTTACTTACCTTTACGTAACTGTCGTTCTTCAAAGTATTTTGCACAGGTCCATCCACTACAGGTGACTCACAAGCAGATTAATGTGGAGACAGTTCAGAGTCTACCTGAACAGCTATGGTGGAACAAGCCATCCAAAACTGGCATCGTTCCTGGACTGACGGGAAATGGCATAATGAGCAGCAAATGTATGAACTGATGACCAGGTGGCTGCTTTGCAAATGTCTCAACCGGGTACATGCGTGAGGAAAGCTGTTTGTGCTCTAGTTGAATGAACCAATACTCCAGGTAAGAGGTGGTGTGACATAAGCTAACTGGTAGCACAAACAAGTGCAAGAGAGGATTTCTTCCTAGATTTCTTAAGTGGAAACCGGTTGATCTTTCACCCTGGCCGCAAATCACAACAAAACTGTGCTGAGGATCTAAAGGGTCTGGGACGGCCCAATTAGAAGGCTAACGCTCTCCTCACATCCAACAAATGACGTTTTTGCTCATCTATACATGTAGGCTTTTGGGGAAAAGTTGGCAAATAAACTGCCTGGTTAATGTGGAAATTGGAAACCACCTTTGTTAAGAATTTTGGATGAGAGAGGAGGTACACTTTATCCTTATGGAAAACTGTATAAGGAGGCTCGGAAACCACGGCTCTCAATTTACCCACTCTCCTTGCTGAGGTTAACGCAACCAGAAATGCCACTTTCATAGAGAGATGGAGCAGGGAGCAATTCACAAGAGGTTCAAAGGGAGGTCCCATTAATTTTTTTAGCACCAGGTTGAGATCCCCTGTGGGAACAGGTTCTTGTACCTGAAGGTATAATTCAGTGGTTCTCAAACTTTTGTACTGGTGACCCCTTCCACACAGCAAGCCTCTGAGTGCGACCCCCCCCCTTATAAATTAAAATGCTGGGGGCAAAGCGGGGTCTGGGGTGAGGCTGACAGCTCGTGACCCCCCACGTAATAACCTCGTGACCCCTGAGGGGTCACGACCCCCAGTTTGAGAACCCCTGGTATAATTCATCCAACCCTTTTAGAAATATGATAGTTACGGGGTTGGAAAAGAGTGATTTATTACCCAGTAGAGGGTGGAACGCTGAAATAGCTGCCAAATGGACTTTAATTGAACTATCTTGATGTTTGAGGTGCAACAGGTAATCCAAAATATGTTTAATGGAAGTCTGCACTAGAGAGACACCGTTTCTGTTGAGAAAAAATAGAAAAATATTTCCATGTAGCCAGATAAGTACACCTAGTTGAAGGATTTCCGCTACTCAGAAGGACTTCCTGAATATCTGTTGAGCAAGCTATTTCCAATAGTGCTAACCAAGAGACATCCCTGCTGCCACGTGGAAGGCCTGTAGGTTGGCGGCAATATTCCCTTCAGTTTGTTTACATCTCCCCCTTCAAATCCCACTTCCCTGTCACTCTTCAGGGACCACTCTGGCAAGACCATTCTTTAGCAGGAGGTCCAATCTCTCCTAGCAGGAGCCTGAGAGAAAGTTCCTCTGTTCCTCAGGGGGAAGGGTTTTTATTTGTGCTGTTTCCTTTGTGCCAAAGCAAAAAGGCAGTCTTAGACCTATTTTCGATCTAACAGAGTTAAACATGTACCCGAAGAAAATAAAATTCCTTACAGTTACCCTAGCTTCCATTAGTCCTTCCCTGGAACAGGGCAACTGGTATACTGCGTCCGACTTAAAGGTCACTTACTTCCATATCACAACCCGTCCAGACCACCAGAAGTTTCTCAGGTTTGTAGTCAATGGAACTCATTACCAATTCATTGCTTCTATTCAGCTTATCATCAGCCTGTTGCATTATCACAAAGTGCAGGGTGCAGGTAACTGTATCTGCAGATTCCTCCACCGGGGCGACAGACTGGTGAGAGACCTGTTCAAGTCTCAATCACTGTACAGCATGACCATCATTCAGTCCACCTTCAAAACACTAAGGCTATTCTTCAGTATGGACAAATCAGTTCTAAAACCTGTGCAAAGAATAGAGTTTATCGGAGAACGCCTCGATGCTACAAAAGTCAGAATGTTTCTGCCCCTGTCAAGTCTCCAAATGCTCAAAGACATAGTCTTGGATCTAAGAGCACATCCAGTTACCATAGCACACACTTGGCTGAAGCTTCTGGGACACATGGAGGCATGTACCTGCATAGTACAGCACGCTAGACTACACTTCAGCCCTCAGAAGGCTTCAGGGATGGCTAGCATCAGTGTATGTCCCCTGCTGACGTAGTTTAGACAGAGTGATTAATGTTCCACAGGTAACTTTATCCTCTCTGGACTGATGGACAGACCTTTGGCATGTTTGTGCAGCAGTTCACTTCGTTTCTCTGCAACGAATGCTCAAGCTGGTCACGGATGCCTCATCCCTGGGTGGGACACATCAAAACCCTGCAAACTCAAGGGTTGTGGCCCTCGCAATTCGTATAAACATCAGGGAGCTACATGCTACCAATCTAGTCTGTTTGACCTTCCGTCCACATACTGTGGGGGGAAAAGTCTGCTAGAGTTAACGGACAACACAGCAACTATGTCCTATGTGAACAGACAGTTCCTTCTAGCTGTGCCAGCAGGTAATTCTGCTTTGGGAGTTCTGGATAACCAACTCCATTCACCCCAAAGCTGCTTGCTTCCCAGGTGAGCAGAACACATTGCCAGGTCCTCCTCTGCTCACCACCAATGGTCACTGTTTGGACGTGGCCAGGTCCATCGTCCAGTTGTGGAGAACTCCCCAAGAGGACCTGTTTGCAACAAAGACCAATAGAAAGTTCCATCAGTTCTGCTCCTGAGGGTCACAGCCCAGGTTCTTTGACAGAGTTTCGTGCTCACAGACGAACTCCCTCCTGTATGCATTTCCTCTAACACCATTACTATCCAATGTCCTGTTCAAGGCCACGCAGGATTGTGCTTACCTCATACTAACTGCACCAGCATGGCCTCAGCAAAATTGGTTCTTGGTCTCCCTAGCAACGCTAGTAGGATCTCCTCTGCCTTTCCCATTGGATTCAGACATGATTTCTCAGGCTGGAACATCCATAAACCACAAAGTTCTGATGGAGAATAACCCTCCCATCTGGTTTGGGACACAGAAGACCCCACTTCCAAATATGACCAAGATGACAGAGTCCTGCAATAACAGCAGAGTAGAACCCATGTAGACAGGAGATAGGTAAGCTGAACCCAGAGGTGGTGATACTCAGGATAGTGACAGTGGCTTGCCTCTGGAATATACTGGCCCCTTAGGTATTGGAAGCGGCATCAGTACTGCATGCTCTTGCTGACCTGTTGTAGGAACTACCATTGCTGAAACCACACTTGCTCTGCTGGGGATGCCAGTACCAAAAGGTTAAGCAAGTCTCTGTGGCAGCGTACCTCTGACATCATCAATACCAGAATTGGTCTTCAGTCTGCTGTGTTTGTACAAGAAATTCAGGGGTTAGTCTCAGCAGACTTGGCATAGGTTCTGGAGTTGACAAACTCCGCCTTTGTGGCAGAGGAATGCTCTAGAAAATGCTTCCCCTTTGAGTCCCTCACAGAGTCCTTGCCTCTAGCTGGCCTTGCTGAACGAGGTACTGAGTCCCTGGAAGATGTGTCTCTCTTCCTTGATACCAGAAACACAGTACATGGTGCTGAAGACGTCTCAGGAGGTGCACTCTGTACTGATGGTGCCGGGCTTGGCATACGCTCTGAACCCAATGGCTCCAAAGGAAGACAAAGTGCCACCTCCATAAAGAGATGTTTAAGTCTTGCTGCTCTCTTTTTTTTAGAGTGAGGCTTAAACTCTCTACAAATGTGATACTTGTCACTGATGTGGGACTCCCCCAAACATTTTAGGCAGTGGGGCTGTCGGCCACTGACCGGCAAAGCACAAGCATACGATCGGCACAACTTGAACCCCAGAGAACAAGGCATGGCTCCAGTACACTGCCTGCTACTGAGAATCAAATTTGGTCCATAAAGAACTAACACTAACTATAACTATAACATGAACTATAACTAACTACCAACTAAACAACAGACTATATACAAAGAGCGAGCGAAATCAACATGTAATAGCAAGACTAGAAGTGCTCCAACAGCCGCCACCGTCCTTTTATACCTGCAAGCAGTGGCGAGTGATGGCAGAGAGTGCTTGAGCCTCCCTGATGGGTACTACTCAGGGAAAAGGTTCTCCAACAATTGTGCAAGGCGCGCACACACACACACACACACACACACCCCTACAGTGGAATGGACATATGCAATCACTCGAAGTAGAACTTCTGGATTCTCTGGTTAAGCAGTTAACATTCACCACTCAAAGAGCTCCTCCTAGTGGTGACACAGTATAACAAAAAGAGCTGCTCTTCAAATTTAAGAAGAGGGAATGGGTTTAAACCCATGAGATTACTGATCTTAAAATACAGTGAGTGTTGAAGGGAAATTTTTATAAAAGATTATAGACCACAAAATAAAATTTGATACTTGACCCAAGCCTTTAAACTGGAGTAACTAGAATGTAGCATATGAATATTTATGGATTTAATTTTCTGCCTGTGTAAAAATTAATGTTCTCTGGTAATAAACTTTTTTAAAAGGATATAGCTTGATATTTGGAAAGGTCAAAATGAAGGTGTGGATAGCCACATAAAGCTTATGGATGAAGCTTTCAATAGATTAACAGGCATCAAGTAATTTGATTAAAACAATATTTTATTATTGAAGGGCCTAGGAGAAATACACTTAGCAAACTGAATGAAAGGGCTAACCCAACATTTCAGGATAATGCTACAAACACCATGGGCCAGCACTTCTGGTTTTAAATAAGATGCATTATATTCAGAGCTTTGAAATAACCAGTTTTATGCAAGCTATTTCCCCTCCTTATTTTAGTGGCTTGCTTGTTTTGTTTTTTAAAGGCGCACATTTGATTTTTAAACGTAAGACTTGGTTTGTTCACATACAGTATGTATAAACCACAGTTGATTCCAGATACCTGTGAGGAATGCATAAGATTTACTGAAGGAAGAAAAGGACAATTTAATTGATTTGGGGTACATATCTTGACAATACATACCATCATTAAAATACACAGCAGGTCCTTAAAGTCTTCAACAATCTAAGTACCAAAATGCTAAATCCCATAGCCACATTCAATAGACTCACTCAAAGTAGGAAACACTAGCCACAAGACTATGGTATGTGTTCTTAACCTCCATTTAAAACTCAAGAGTGAAATCCTGGCTCAATTGAAGTCAATGGCAAGACTCTTATTGTCTTCAATGGAGTCAGGATTAAACTCTAACTTTCCTATCAAATTTGATTTTATCTTTTAGCAAAGTATGAATCAACATATGAATTCAGAAAAAAAGGAATGTAATGGATGAACAAATATCCTATGATTTTTACCTTTCCTTGACAGCTTGGAGGGAGACCAGAGGAGATGGTGAACGAAATGACAATGGAATACTGAATGGGAGAAAAGTCTCATTCCGATCAGTCTCAACCACCATAGAAGCATGAGATGCGTTGTCTAACAAACGGAATTGAAATAATAAAATTATGAAGCAATGATTTGACAATGAAACATATAATCCAGTTATGACCCACACTTTCCTTTAATAGGAAAATTTTACTCTTGTGACCTAAATTGTGTGTTGTTTTTTTTTTACTTGCAGGTTCTTTCATGGATTTTAAGAGAATGGGAGACTGGAGACAGAATAGGGACTAGCAATATACACACACAGTCCTTGGGATTCAAGGGCAATCTTAGCATTACTGGCCTTAGACCTAGTAGGTATTTGTTTTATTAATCTGTTGAAGCTTTATTTAATAAAGCGGCAACTGACAAATCAGTGGCAATAAGAGGAGAACTCTCGATGGATGACTATCTTCTGTACATGGATTTCTGGCCTATTCTGAGGCAACAGCTCAATGCTATATTCAGCAGGTAACCAAGATGGCTCAAAAAAAAAATTAACAAATATGTTATATTAAACTATGTAGTGATATTTCATGAAAGTTAAATTACATTGGATTATACTGGTCTTACCAGACTAGGCATTACTAAGATGTCCATCACCATTGCATTTAAGGAGATATCCATGTGTAACTTAACCCAAACACTGTGGCTCTTCATATCAGCCTGATATGAGTAACCAATGAGTAACCAAAAGAGCCTCCACCATGTCCTTTACTACTACCGTATATACTCGATCATAAGCCAGTTTGTTTATAAGACGACCCCCCCAATACGGATAAGTAAAAATGGAAAATTTTTATGACCCATTCATAAGCCGACCCTATAATTCAGGGGTCTGCAAACTTTGGCTCCCGGGCCATCAGGATAGGCCACCGGTGGGCCGAGCATCCGCAGGCACAGAGGTAAACCTAAGTAAACAAAGTGTCCCGGCGTACCAGCTGCTTACCCTGACAGGCCAGGACGGCAACTGGTGGGGAAATGTTTTGGGGGGGGGTGGAGGAAGCTGGGAGTCAGGGTAGTAACTCTGGCCCCGCCTCTTCCCTTCTGGCTCTGTTGGTTGTGCTGCCTCTCCTTGCTCCCTCTGTTTGGGGGAGGGGCTGTGTCCCACCTGTCCCTCTCTATACCCGTTCATAAGCCAACCCCCTTCTCTGGTGCTTCCCTTTTTTACTAAAAAAATTCGGCTTATGAACAAGTATATACGGTATTTTGCATACCAATAACTATGGAGTGATTTGGTCCATTTGTGCTTGCTCTCTACCCTTTAAAAGAGGCAAAGGCTGATGAGGTCAAACTGAAACCTAGTTACAGTTAGAAGCACAGATGGTACCTATGGTCAGCCTTGTGGCAGCCATCTTATTTTTAGATCATTTATGTAGTCACCTACAACACTACTGACTCCAGGCTAGCTTGCTCTTATTTCAGAGGTCAGGTGCATTGGGGCGTTTTTTGTTTTTAAATCATATCCTAGTACAAGAAAAAGACGTACAAAGTGAACTCGATCGCATTTTTAAAAAAAAAGTGTGATTAAGGAAAAGGATTATTTTAAGTAATGGTGATAATGCTTTTACTAGTACCTCAAAACAAAAAGTTTCTTTTTCTCAAAATGGAGCTGAACTATCAGTTCTACTGCCAGCATTCAAAGCATCCTTATGGAAATGGGCCTCTAGATAGTACCGAAAGGTCAGCAAGTGGTGTTACGCTGCTTGCAAACCAAACTTTTTGTTCACTAGGTAGAAAAGTAGCAATTTAAAGACTAATGGCCACTTACGGTAATGGGAACAGAGCAACCAATTCCAATGTAGAATAGAAGACAGCATTCATTAAGATCCGTTTCTCAGGAAATTATCTAAAGCAGTGGTTTTCAAACTTTTTTTCTGGTGACCCAGTTGAAAAAAATTGTTGATGCCCATGACTCAACAGAGCTGGGGATGAGGGGTTTGGGGTGTGGGAGTGAGAGCTGCAGGGTGGGGATGGGAATGAGGGGTTTGGGGTACAGGAGGGGGCTCAGGGCTGGGGCAGTAGGTTGGGGCGCGGGATGGGGGTCAGGGCTCTGGGCTGGGGGTGTAGGCTCTGGGGTGGGGCCAGGGATGAGGGGTTTGGGCGCAGGAAGGGGCTCCGGGTTTGGGGGGGCACTCAGGGCTGGGGCAGGGGATTGGGGCATAGGCTTGGGGCGCAGGCTTACCATGGGCGGCTCCCGGTCAGCAGCACAGCGGGAGTACTAAGGCAGGCTTTCTGCCTGTCCTGGCACCATGGACCCGAAAGAGGCCAGCTGCAGGTCCGGCTCCGCACGGCTCTCACCCGCAGGCACCACTCCCTCACAGCTCCCATTGGCTGCTGCTGGCCGCTTCTCGGGCACAGCACGGTGTTGGAACAGGTAGGGACTAGCCTGCCTTAGCCAGACAACACCGCCAACAGGACTTTTAACAGCCCAGTCAGCGGTGCTGACCAGAGCCGCCGTGACCCAGTGCCTTACACTCTGCGACCCAGTACTGGGTCGCAACCCACAGTTTGCAAACCACTGACCTAAAGCACCAAATGAAGCTCACATACACTGAGATAGAGAAGCATCTAGGACTTTTATAGTTTGAAATAACCAGCCACTTGAAATCACTAACTGAGCAGCAATAGGAAAACTAACTCCAAATGTGTAAAGCCAAGTCTCTTCACTTGAAAGTTTTACTTTCTAAAATACATTAAGATGGCATAACCAAAAAGTAAAGATGGGTGAACAAATATCACAAATGACAAGTGTAAAGTTCATTGACACAAAACATGCATTTATTAATAGTACAAAACTACCTAAAGATGGCATTAGCTCTTAAACCTTTATTTTTTCCACTCGTTCTTGACACACATGATGAGAAAGTCCACCAACACCTTGGCAAAAAAATTGTTGCACTATGAAATTTTAGTTCCTGACACCAACAGATTCAGTAAAAAGAGAAGCCAAAGAAACCCTCTGACATATTTTCATACACTTCAGTATAATCTACCTTGATTTTAGAAAAGAATGAGTCTAACAATACAGCTGCATTCTTCACCTTCCCTCTTGCAAGATCAGGGAGATCACAATGGGCGCCATCCCTTCCTACAGGACACTCCCACTCTGCAGGGGATAGCAGGTTGATTCCCTGATGAGAAGGGAGTTTTGCTCTCTGGCCCCACTTAATTTTAGGTCATCAGCAACCCAGGGGTCAGGAGAAAAGAGACTCCACAACTTCTCATAGCTAGCAGCTCTAAATTGGGTGGGTGAGGTTGAAGGAGTTTAATATTTAATAGGAATGGGCCTTCAGGTCTGCCTCATCCAGCTCTTCTGGTGCATCTGAAGAGACAGCTCACTATAAAAAAAAACCCAATACTTTCCCTATAGCATTGGAGTATATTCCCAGCAGAAGACCAAGAGCATCTCCCTCTCTGCAGGCCATTCCATCCCCTCCCCAGCTTTAAACAGCTTCCTCTATCAACACAGACAGGCAGCAGCATAGAAAGGAGCTACTAACAAAGGTGTGTTTTTTCAGAAAGGAGAGATCACACTACCCCTTGAAAAGCCAGAGAAGCCTCTAACTTTTGGATGGATATTTGTTGGGGGAAGAAAAGAACAAAGCTGGTTGGGTGGAATAACAGGGTTTCTCAAAAGGTTGCACCCCTCATACACTAATGTGTAAATGTACAGGAGGGAATCCCTTCCAAAAAAAACAACCCAGAAGAGAAACCCTGCAAGAAAGTTAAAAGCTCTTGACCCACACGTAGCAGCTCCCTGGCACCAATATAAGGCCTGGCTCAACTAGAGTTAGGATAGGACAACAAAAGCGGAAATCAGGCTAGCAGAGGCTGGATTAATATTGATGCAGGGTAGTTTGCCTTAATGCTAAGAATAACCTAGCTGAGTTACCTATGGAAAAAGGAAATCTTGAGTGAAATCCTGGCTCTACTGAAATAAATGGGAGTTCTACCATTTAGTTCAATCGAGTCGGGATCTCACCCCTAAAGTTTTCAGTACAAGGTTTTACTACAAGAGGCCACGGAAGTGGTGACTTTAGGTTTACTACTAGCAAGATGTGGCACATGTGATTCACCGAACAGCTTATAGGGTTTAATCAGGGATATCTAAATGGTGGAAGACAAATGGAATTTACAGCTATGAAGGGTTTTATTGTTGTTTTAAACCTAGACACCATATCACCAGCTACTTGTTGAACACAAAGAAGGCAACTGAAAAACATATTTTCATTGCAAGCCATTACCAAGCTCCACCTGCTCTTCTTCCTGGTGTGCAGTAAACTCTTTAAGTCTCTCATCTTCTGACAATGTTTGGCTGTTTAAGGAACAAGAGTCTTCATCTGACTGACTGCCTCTTCGACTAATAACACGATAAATTCCAGAGTCTAAGACACTGAAACTTTCCTGTAGGGCAAATAATAAAGTCACATGAGCCACAAAAATATCCTTATTAACCCACACTGAGAATTCAGTGCACCACCAGAGCTTTTAATCTGAAACCTTGAAAATAAACACATATGCCACATAGTTCAATTTCTTTATAAATATTCAAAGTAAGAGTTAAAATGAAACTTTTATAGGAAGAGTAACTACAAAAAAACCTGCAAGTCTGGTGGGCTGAGCACAAGATGAGGAACTAAGAACTCCTCGGTTTTAATATAATCTCTGACAAAGCCACATTGTATCTTGGACAAGTCACTTCCTCTCTGCACTTGCCTATAACGGGAGTTTTGGTCATGGTATAACTGCAGTTAATGGATTCTTAAATAACTAGTTAGCTAACACAATTGTAAGTGCAATTATAGATCCTCCACAAAAGTTTGCTCCAAGACACATGTTTCTCCCTGGTCATGGTTCAGCTCAAGCTGGGCATTTCTACATCTCTACAACATGGATAACCTCACAGGATGTTGTGAGAATAATTAGTTGTCTAAAGTGCTTTGAAGATGAAAATAGCTATGTAAGTGCTAAGTATGAAGCAAGTTTTTCCTTTTCACAAGATACTAAAAGTTAGGGTCAACACCTAACCAACCACATGAGTAAGACAGCACTTTTGTAAGTAAGATTAAAGCCAATTTTTAAAACTGAGTAAAAGTCTTATGCCCAAATGAGGTCACATTTCCACACAAACCAGCATTTTCTGAGGAATGTTACAGCACTCTAAAATATAGCTTTAGAAAAGAAATATTGTCATGCAGGAATCATGGTGGATCAGAGAATAGAATTAAGTAGCCCTAGATGAACATGAAATCTATCGAATCATGCCCTTACAAATCTAGAAAACTGCATAATTAACATTTTTAGGTTCCTACCCCAATTAGTCTAGTTAGTAATAGACACCCTAAGTATCTTGCAGTGTGATTGTAGCCACGTTGGTCCCAGGATATGAAAGGGTACGTCTTCACTTACCGGACGGTCCGGCGGCAGGCAATCGATGTTCTGGGATCGATTTATCGCGTCTGGCTAAGACGCGATAAATCGATCCCGGAAGTGCTCGCCATCAACGCCGGTACTCCAGCTCGGCGAGAGGAGTACGCGGCATCGACGGGGGAGCCTCCCTGCCACGTCTGGACCCGCGGTAAGTTCGGACTAAGGTACTTCGAATTCAGCTACGTTATTAACGTAGCTGAATTTGCGTACCTTAGTCCGAAGTGGGGGCTTAGTGGGGACCAGGCCAAAGAGACAAGGTGGGTGAGGTAATACCTTTTATTGGACCAGCTTCTGCTGGTGGAAAGTACAAGTTTTTGGGCTATGGAGAGCTCCTATTCAGATCTGGGGAAGGAAATCAGAGTGCGTGAGCTAAATACAAGTTGGGACAGATTGTTAAGCATAAGGGATAATGCATGTTGTAGGTAGCCACTTCAAAGGAAATGGGCAACAGAGGGTTAGATTGTTATGCATAAGGGATTTGAAGTGGACAATTAAGGGTAGCAGGCAGTGGGGGGGGAGAAGAGAGGAGGGATTACAAATTGTTGTAATGGACCGTAAAACTAGTGTCCCTGTTGAATCCATGTTTTTCGGTGTCTAGCTGAGTTATTAATTTAAGTTCCCAGGCTCATCTTTTGAAGTATTGTGGTATTTGAGGGCGAGTATTGAAAGAACAGATATGGAGCGATCACTTTGTGAGAAAAGTTTGCAATACGTGGTTTTATCTTTTATCATTTTTTTGAGAGAGTTCATTCAAGAATGTAATGATTGACTGGTTTCACCCACAAAGTTGTTTTGAGGCATTTGATGTACTGAATGAGTTGCGATAAGCATGTGTAGGACCCATGAATCTCAAAAGGTGTGTTTGTCGTGTGAGGTACCTATCATTGCAACAAGGGAAATATGTCTGCAGGTTTTGCATCTGTTATTCTGGCAGGGTTTGGTGCTGCTTTAAGTTGGTTACAGTGGGGGGCTTGCTTCTGATGAAGAGCTTGGCAAGGCTGGGGGGACTGTTTGAGGACAACGATAGGGTGCTCAAGAAAGGTTTACTTCAGGATATGGTCCGCATCAAATATGGGTTTTAACTGTATGATGATACCCACTATGGGTTCCAATGTGGGGTGGTAGGTGTCAACTGGGAACTTAAATTTGTAACTGGTGGACAACAAAAACCATGGACTCAAGAGGAACACTGGTTTTATGGTTCATTACAACAATTTGTAATACACTCCCACCGCTGCCTGCTATCCTTAATTGCCCACTTCAAATCCTTTATGCATAACAGTCTAACTCTCAATTGCCCACCTCTTTTCAAGTGGTCTCCTACAACATGAGTTAACCCTTATGTTTAACAATCTGTCTTAAATTGTATTTAGCTAAGGGCTGGTCTACACTGGGGGGGGGGTCGATTTACCTGGGGTCCACACTGCGCGGGATCGACGGCAGTGGCTCCCCCGTCGACTCTGCTACCGCCGCTCGCTCCAGTGGAGTTCCGGAATCAACGGGGAGCGCGTTCGGGGATCGATATATCGCATCTTAACGAGACGCGATATATCGATCCCCGATAAATCGATTGCTACCCGCCGATACGGCGAGTAGTCTAGACGTACCTTAAGACACTCTGATTTCCTTCCTCAGACCTGAATAAGAGCGCCGTGTAGTTTGAAAGCTTGTACCTTTCACCTACAGAAGTTGGTCCAATAAAAGTTATTGCTTCCCCCCAGCCTTGTCACCATAAATATCTCACCACTATCAGTGAAGAAAGGCAAATATAATATAAACCTTTTTTCTAATCTGCAGAGTGAAGGATTATGTGACACTGAGCCAGCGAGGGTTAAGCAACCAGCAGGCTGGTTGAAACAAAATCCATCTTTAAGGACATATTAGAATAGTACTGAAATGCTAAACAGGACCATTCCTTGTATATATTTAAGAAAGCCATGTTAAATAGACCAGAGTTCTTGAAATATAAACCTCTACTGTTAGAGAATTAGGAGCAGCTATTAATTGTATTTGTCCGTTTACCTATATCTTATTATAAATTTAACAATGTAATCTAATTAGCTTGTAGATGCTAAACTTCAGTTCCTGTCTGTAATGTTTCATTACTATATTCTATTGATTCAGAGATCAAAAAGAGATATTAATATTTAGATGAGACTTGTGGTGTAATAATATCATTGTCTTTATTTCTCTTTGAAGTTTGTAGTACACTACCTATGAACCATTTGAATGGGTAATTTGCGATATGCTAATCAATGCAACTAGTTTATCTGCATATACATAGGAAATGCTTTGAAGCTAAACTTCTACATGTAACAATATAGTTCCTATTCTTCATCGGGAAGGCACCTGCTGTGATCATTTGCTGTCAAAAGACTTATCTGCTGAGCTTCAGCTATAAAGGGCTCGGGCCTGACCCTTATTATTTCAGATCTGCTTAAACTTTGATGGGGAAGTCATAAGACTGAGGTCTCCAGGTGTACCCTGAATTATCCCTGCAAATTCTCATGGAAGAATTGGAGCAAACTCTACACATCGACTGCCTGTTGGACTATAACCTACTGAACTGATTCAGGAAGGACTTTTACAAATCAGCATCCTCACTATCTCTACTGACCTAAGAACTATACTCATATCTGTATGTATAATGCTTTTTAACCACAGTAATTCTCTTTTCTTTTTAAATAAATCTTAGATTAGTTAATAAGAATTGGCTGTAAGCGTGTATTTGGGTAAGATCTGAAATATTCATTGACCTGGTGGGTAATGTGTCTGATCCCTTGGGATTGGTAGGACTTTATATATGGTGAATAAGGTTTTAAATAATCCTCACCATATAGACTTGGCAGTCTGGGTGGGAGCCAAAGGCTGGATTGCTTAAAGGGAACCATTTTCAGAATCGTCCCTGCAGCAACCACGGTTACAGATGGCAATAGACAAGCTTATAACAAAAGGAGGAAGAACTGAATTGGGGGGGAAAAAAATCAACTTTATATACACCTACATGTGATGAAATACTGCTCCTTCTGCTGCTGCATGCAGAATCTAAAGGTTCCAGCTTTGATATCAATTCTTCCAGTTGGCTAATGACATCACTTTGGGTTGAGAGGTCCAGCTGCGATTTTAAATGCTCTAGTTTGTCTAGAGGCAAAAATTTTCTTGCCTAACAATACAAAAAGGAAGAGGTTTGTTAATATTCTTATTGCTCATATGAAACATAACAGAGTGTTTTAATTTATTACCCATGCAATTATAGGCTAAGTTTTCTAATAAAGGAGTAATTGCTTATTAGTTCTACAATTACATTTCAACATGACAAAAAGCTCCAAAATCCAAAGTGCAAGTTTTATAGGATTTGGTTTAGGACAAAAGGACTTAACTGAATAGATGTAGTAGAGAGGTGGGAAGAGGTCATAACTTACTCTGCAGGAAATAATAGAGTTCTGGAAGAGACAGCAGACTCTGGCAGCAAGACTCCAGAAACCTCTTCTTAGCAGACGTTCTACACAACGCTCCACTAGCAGAAGAGAGAAGTGCGAGACTTTTCCATTCGTATGCAGACAGAACAACTCATTTCTGTACACTGCTATATCCTGGATATCTATATAAAACAGAGGAGTAGAAAGGTCTTAGGGATGAATGTACTTATCAATATTTCCTTTCTGGGAAAACTTGGAAACAATTTACAGACACAAAATGGGTGAGATAATGTCTTTTATTGGTCCAAATTCTGTATTGGACCAATACAACGTAGAACAGATTTAGTGCGACACTCTGAGTAAGTTCCCCAGACCTGAAGCAGAGCTCTGTGTAAGCTCGAAAGCTTGTCTCTCTCAGCAACAGAAGTTGGTTCAATAAAAGACATTACCTCAGCCACCTTATGTTTCTAATATCTTGGGACTAACAAGGCCACAACCACATTGGAAACAGTTTGTACTTTTCAATCTGCCTACTAATGATTACAACAAATTTCCATTCCTGAAATACACCAGTAGAATATGGGATAACAATTAGATGGCACTATGTTAGTATATAATTACCATTGCATACAATTAAAAGCTATGAGTCCTTTGACCTTGGAAGTACTTAATTACACATTATGTACATATTTTTTCTTTGAAAAAACAAAAAACGCAGAAACTACATAGCACAATGACAGGTGTTCAATTATTTGAAATTAATTAGTTGCTTGTTAAGGATTTAATTAATTTGATGTACAAGAAACACTAAATGTGCAAATACTCCATAACAGTGGCATTTTGACCTGTTCATTTCAAAGTGCAGTTAAATACCTTCAGAACATTTATTAGTCCTTTTGTGTAACACGGCAGTTGTTTAAATTGAAGAATGTAAATACAACTTAGAAGAAGAATACTATACAAAAATCTCCTAATCTGTTAGGGTTAGATCCACATCAGATATTCTTTGAAAAATAATAACATGGAGTAAGGAGAAGCAAGGAAAGGAAACCACAATATTTATGATGTTTCATTGAATCACACTGGGCCATTTTCTTTTTGAGATTCAATACACTGTCCCCTACTACCTTTATTTCGCAAGCATCCAAACAATTTGTAAAGATTAGTTTTCAAAGTTTTTTTTTTTAAATATTCAAAAATTTGTCTCAAATTGCTGATGATTAACTAGAAAGTTATTAGTGAATGTTATTTAACCCCCTTGTGGAAACAGAAATTTTAAGTACAGGACTTTAGAGAGTCAAAATGTAATGAACAATGTAGCAAAAACTTAAGTTCCTTAAAGTTCACCTTTTACTTCACTCCAAAGTAAAACTTGAACATTCTGAGGAATGAAGACATAAATGCCCCTTTCTGTCCACGTCATAACACAATGCTCGCTGTAAGCAAAGAAAAAATATTAAGCAGTGTTTCAAAGTACTCATTTCGGAAGGAAATTTTCTTGCCAGAGTACTCCATTTAATAGTGTATTTAATTAATCTATTATTTTTTATTTAGAGAACAAGATCTGAACTTTAAGACACAGCCTCCTGACCTAACATCTCTGTTTTCTATAGTCTTTAACCAAGCCCGCATAAAGGGAATTCAGGTAGGAAGATTATTTTGTACATGTTACAGTTAAAAAAGAAGTATTTAAAAAAAACTGACTTTTGGAAAAGGTTTGCAGATTTACATGAAACTGTGAACCTGTAAAAAATTTTGAAAATAATTCACTAGACAACAGGGTTGCGGGTTTTTTTGTTTTTTTGGGGGGGGAGAGAGGGGGGAGTGGGTTAAGAGGAATTGGAGCATGGGAAGAAGAGGATAAACAAATCCAAACTACTGCTCATGGGCTTTGAAGGATGTTAATTTGAACAGATGTGATGAAAGCTAACAAAGATAATATTGTTAATAAAGCAGAGTGCTGGTAAATACTTACGTCAAATATAACAGTTTTGGGAAAGACAAAGACTGGAGGGAGCAGGCAGAAGTATTATACTGAGGATCCAACCTATAAAACATATAATATCTAAATGGTAATTGACAGTAATTCATTCTAATTACAAAACACATCATGTTAACAAAATATTTAAACCCTCAGTCCTGTAAACACTTACACACGTGCTTAACTTTAAGCATGTATTTAATTCCACTAAAGTGATATGTATAAAGATAAACATATGGGTATGTTTGTAAGATTGAGGCTTTAGTTATTACTGTCACTTATAAACAAAGTTTACTGGCAAAAGACCTACTATTACTAAAGTGGAATACCTAGGAATGTCAATATTTACTAAAGTCACAATCTGACTATATTACAATTTACCTCTAGAATTAATACAGGGTGGATGGATTATCATAATTCTTTTAACTAACAGCAGTAATTGTTTCTCAGTGGCATTTTAAATTGCCATGAATATGGAAGGAAGAGGTCATCATAAACTACAAAAGGACTCAGAGTGGTAGCCGTGTTAGTCTGTATCAGCAAAAACAACGAGGAGTACTTGGCCCAAATAAATTTGTTAGTCTCTAAGGTGCCACAAGAACTCCTTGTTCTTTTTACAAAAGGACTGATATTTCAAAACAGGAGCCCAAGACCTCTGGTTGCCTTAACTGTTGAGATAATTTACAGTAAAGGTCAGAGATCAGTTTGTTTAGAAGTTTTCCATCAAAAACATTTAAAAATACAAATATAGAAAAAAAATTAATTATTCTATGAAATAATTATATACTTATATTTTCCATAGGTATGAAGTACACTGGAAGTATTTCTGAAAAAGCTATGACCCTTACCCCAAACCTAACCCATTCCAAAAAGAGTCAAACATATTACCAAACGGTAGTGAGTTAACAACTCTATGTTTAGTAATAGTGATTTTAGAGCATCCAAAGGCAACACTGTAGATTTATAACTTTAAATTGCATCTCTGCTATGGAAAATGTAACCCAAGAAAAAGTGTGAATTCACTTCTCTAATCAAATATGACAACTTGCTACGCCTACATTTAATTGGAAGCCAAAACTGAATACAAAATAAAGAAATTAGTTCTTAAAGCACTCATGCACAAAGCTACTGCCAACCCGAAGATATGTAATAAAAATTGACCACTTCTAATTGATTTGGCAAGCACTGCATTAGTCACTACTGAAGCATGAACTTCTGTCATGAATCAGATGGTTCCCCTACGACCCCCCCTTTTAGAAGAACACAACTTTTGGATGCAAGTGGGTGGGTGAGTGGATGCTATAAGGAACAGATGAACACATTTCTGAGAGCTGCAAAATGAAAACTCTAGGCTGCATGACAAGCTGAAGCTTTTGTTCATGACTTGACTTTTTATTACTATATTTTGTGACTTTCAGAGAGTAGCTTTCACAGAAATGGGATGAAAGCATAACCCGATTTATCACTAACCACCATCAATACCACTACCTTAGAGTAATAACTGGGAGAGGAGGCGACGAGAGCAGCTGTTTGAATTGATGGGTACTTAGCACCTCCCCTTCAAAGTTCACCTCCCACATCCTTGACCCAGGACGTGCACAATATATTAATGGCTGCTGGCTTCCACAACTCTTTCCAGATGGGAAAAAACAGGCACCATATTCTCCATCTCTTTCTTTGTTACCAATTTTCCAGAATTTCTCTCTAGTGGGGGGAAAATATATATTTAGACAATATAGAAAACAGGCTCTGTTTTGTTTTAACATTTTCTTGGAGGACTGTATCCACCAAAGGAACATTCATAACTGTAAGCTTCCAAAATATTTTCATTTGTATTTGATATGGTAAAGTTTATTTATAAATTAAACCAAAAAATCTCACCATTATAATTCAAAGTATAGAGCAATGAGACAGTTGCAGATTAACAAAAACTAAACCTGTTTGCTTGATATAAGTCAGTTTTCCATTATTTTTAAATGTGTACTTTATGAAGACATTACATCCTTTTTGCATTAATTTTTACTATTTATTTTGCTTTAGCAATCAAAGTAATTTCTATGCTATTTGCCCAGCCAGTTGGGTCTATCTAACTAGGGTCTACACAGCAGGACCAGTATTTTCCTTGCTGTCTCTGCTTAACTCAAAGTTTAAGGGTGTCCGTTAAACTGCATGTGCAGTGTAGACACTAAATAATGTACCTTTAGTTTACAACTCTTCAGAAAAGCTATAATTCATTTTAAAACCATGAAACCCAATCCCTAAAATTAGATGCAAAACCAAGAACTACGTTAATACTATTAAGATAATACTGTTACGGGACGACATCTGGTCTACAATATGCCAGTAAATCTCTTCAATGATGAGTATGTCTGACCAGCTAAATGATAACAATTTCGAGTGATGAAATTTACGAATGATAAATGTAAATGCTAAAGCAGAATGATCTTTCAGCTAATCCATTTGAATCGGTTTCCAGCTTTAAGAGATGTCTTGATACTTTTGCAGTTAGCGTATAACTTACCTCTCAGTATCACACAAGTAGGAGCGAGTAAGTGAAGAAATAAGCAGTCTTCCATCCAAATAATCAAGTTGAACTACACGGGAGTCAACAGTGGTTATAATCTGAACTGGAAACATTACAAAAGCAGCCGCTGCCTAAAGGAACAAACAAAAACACCACATACTGGGCGTAGGTCAATGCTGGTAATATTCCATAAAAACAACATTAAGAAAAAGTTACAGTTGCAAAGTGCTGCACTCAAAGATCAGAAAATGGCAAACTTCAAGCTGTTTGTGGTTGTTCACGTTAATTTAACTCTGCCCTGTATCCAATAACGTACACCATTACTTTTCCTTTAAAAACAAGACCCTGGATTTGAAAATGTTTATGCGAGTGAATAGCCCTACAGATTTCAATGGACTACCCACATACATACAGTTATTCACATACGTGTTGGCAAGATGGGAGCCTTGTTTATAGTGTCTTGTAATTTTCCCCCCATCAATGTATATTTATACTACATTGTTGTATATCATACTTTTTTTTAAGTAACTTCTCTTTCTATATAAGTGTTTCATTACCCATGCAATGCACATTTTCTTTTAAGCCAGCAATAGTCTCCCTTAAGTGTATTCCCGTAGGGAATAAAAGTTATCTGCTAAGGTAACTTAGCTTCAAATTTAAGTGACCTACAAATGTCAGCAAGTTTCAGTGTTACTCTGCAGTATGTTGTCTAAATACCATTCACCAAATAATTCTCACATAGATGACTTGCACAGACTGTGGGACATACATTGGGTAGCACACAGCAGGGCTCTCACTCATGACGACATTGATGCAGCTGAACCAGTAGTAGCACAAGTGGAAAGTTTGTTACAATTCTCTAATGTAGACAGGCCATAGCCTGACTATAAAAGCTTTGGGTATTATTTAGCTTCAATGGCCAATTAACATTTTGGAGAAAGCACGTCTTCAACAGTCCAATCCCTTCTAGTGAGGGTTTCATGCACACATTATATATTCCAGAGACATTTTCTCCCCTTGTCCCCCAAGTAACCCAGTAAAACCAGGAAAGAATAGAGTTGACATACTTGATATTTCTAAAATAAAACAAGCAGATTTTTTTCTTTAATACAAAGGCTTTCGGGCTTTTCTTATAGGTAATACTTTATACATTATAAATAAGGCTATAGATTTGTCATGGCAGGAAAAAAAGAGTCACAGATAGCATGATTCTCCCATTTATCTGTGATTTTTCTTTTTACGTCCATGACTCACCCCACACCATCAGCTCCTGCCCTGCAGGGCTGGGCCCAGCTCCCCTCTCCAGGTGTTGCAACCAGGTGTATGGGACTGCAGCACCACTCAGGTTTGGCCTGCCCCTCTGTCACAACAAAGTTAGTAAAAGTCACAGGCTTAGCGACTGCTCCATGATTTTTTATATAAAATGCTCTGACAAATCTGAAGCCCTAATTATAAAATAGCAAAAAAGACAGAAGCCGGTTTTCTAAAAGTACTTTGCAGATTTAAGGCTAAATCTGACATGATATGAACCTCAAAACCCAAACTTCCACTTTCCTATAATTTTCAGTTCCAGTTTTGCTCTTTTTTGCTATTGTTCTGGTAACATGTTTAACTGTGGAGTTGTGACATGATTTGGGACTTTCCTTTTGTAAAACTTACGAATTCCGGTTCATATTATTAAATTGCTGGACCACGGAAAGCCTCAGTGTATACTGAATCAGCCATTTAATAACAGGGACTGTATTATACATGGCACATATCGTAACTAGACATCTATGACAGGAACATCAAGAGTCATTAACATTTTAATAGGTCTGCCTTGGCTATAACAGTTACCTACACGGGGAGGCTGTGTTGCAAGAAACTAGTGTTTTCAGTCTGGACTTCAGACAGGCAGTAACCAAGCAACAGCACACCTGACTATGGATCTTGATCACCTGAGGGAGGCTTTGAGGCTGACTAGGAGAGTAACATGGCAGAGGAACTGGAAAGTTATAAATGGACACCGCGTGTTCTGAGTAGTTCTCTCACTGAGCAGAACAAGGTGGCTAGACGGTCAGGAGGAAGGAAGGAGAGGAGGTCCTGGGACCTTGAATGCACTAACCAAAATCCAAACACCTCTCAGCATGAGCACCTGAGGGAGGGAATTGCGTAAAGGTATTAGATTTTGCCTATATCTGTTTATCTCTTGTGATTTATGAATAAAGCATAACTAGTTTAGAAAGCCCTTGTGCATTACTTGCTTTAACTTCACATGTCCCTAAAGGAATAAATGATGAACCAGAATACTCATGAGAATGGAGCTCTGGGGAAGATGTGCTTCAGCTATTGGTGAGACTGGAGGGTTTGGGAGGTCAGCACTGATCCTGGAGTCCAAGACAGCTCAACCACAAGGTCCCATTCCGCATAAGTGGCATCAGAGAGTTTATGCCTGGGAAGTGTGCCCGAGAAACCAGAAACCTATCCAGAGGAGCTTAGCAGCACATGGATCCAGCGTGTGGGTACAAACACAGCTACCTGCCAAGCATCCAGTGGGAGCAGCTCAGCCAGGACTGTGACAAAGGGTTTTTTGCCTTGTCTACACTTACGGCAGTGTGTAGAATACAGGCAATACACATGTAACTACGTGCCACATTGAAAGAGGGCTGCGTTCACACTTGTCACTGAAGTGTGTAGCTAGACATGGCAGTAAAAAGCTCTGGCAGGGGGAGACAGCGAGGGAAGTCTCTGGCAGGGGGGAGCTGGTGGAGTGTTTCCTGCTGCCTCCCCACTGCCAGGCCTTTCCCTGTGGCAGGGAATAGACTCCGGCAGCAGGACACTACACTGTTAAAAACAGCAGTGTAGACACAGGAGGCAAGGCTTGAGCATGTAGAGAGCTACGTAGAGTATATACTCATGTGTTTAGCAATGGAGGGCACTCTACTCTACTCACTTAAGTCATGTCTACATGGCTATTTATACTTATGCTAGCTGGGTGTGCAGTGCCTGTATTCTATATGCTGCCGTAAGTGCAGACAATAACTTATTATCATCCTGTACAGTGTTGGACTCATTCTACAATTAACCAGAAGTACCATAATAGGTGGTGTATCCATCTTTTGATTACTTAAGACTATTTAAAGTAATCGTCAAGGCAGAAATTGTGGATTTACACTCAGACTTCTAAAAAGAAATTGCATCACTGTGCAAAAAAATGCACCCTGAACTCAATGTCTCTTAAAAGTGGTAAATCGTACCTCCAAATTGAATGCTAATGTATTTTAGAATATTTACATTATATTGCCACTTGCTGGACTAGCTATGTATACTGTCAAGAATTGAAGCAAACATTTATACCAGTATCTAGTTCATCACTCCTGACTAGTCACTAAAACGAGCAGAACTTAATTTGCTAGTGAATTCTTTCCCCCATCCTGATTTTACTAACAAACATGGACACACAATCTGTCTCTCTATCTGTTGGAATCTCCTCTCATTGCAAAGAAAATGGGTAATATTTTACCTTCCCTTGTTTGGATGTATTAATCTTGATAGCAGACACTTTTCCCACATGATCTCCTACAAAAACTCGAAGTGCGGCTGTATCCCAACAAAGAGATGTGACTTTTTTGCCTTTGTGCTCAGTGGAAACATAAATCCTCTCTGGCTTTCCACGACGCTCCTGATTGAGTTCCCAGACCACTACAAGGCCTTGACTGTAATAGTTAGGAGATTAACATTTTTAAGAGAACTGATCTTTTGAAAGTGACAATCATTTATAACAGTAGTAAAGAAGTGCTGCTTGCAAGAAAGAGGCAAGCTAAACAAAGAATACATTTTAATATAAGAAGTTGTGTTTGAATGCTGTGCATATGAAAAGTGTGAGGTTGACAATTCTGAAAAACAAAGTGCTACATTTATCCAAAGATAAGCACAATACAAGCTTCCACACACCAACCTACCAATGTACATCAGCCCTAACTTGGAGGGTTGCTCACTCAAACCTGGGCCTCTGTTCTGAAACTGCCAATAAAGGTGGCAGTTGTGAGTTAAATAAATGTAACTAACTGGAATTTCAACGTATAAATGTTTTAATTACCCATTTCACTTTATCAGGTCAGCGAACACACTTTCACATGCCGCTGAAATGTCTCGGGCTTAGCTAACAGGGAAATTGACCAACATGGCTATGGTGGAATACACTCCACCCGAGAAGTTGCTTTATAGCCTTGGGGCAGGAAGGGGAAAATTAATTAAATCAAATTTCTCACCTGGTGGCAACAGCAACATGATCTTCATCATGTAAACAACAGGCGACCCGGGAAATGGCACCTTCCTGATGCAAAAAAGACCAGTCAAGTGATGAAGTGACTACAGTTCCAAGTGCAGTAGTCAAGTTAGTTCTCATTACTATGTTTAGTTATACACAGTTCTTATCCTCTACCTGAGAACTACAACAAGAGATGAAAGTCAGTCTACATAGTAGCTTCGAGTGCTCTTGGATTCTTTGCCTTCTCGTCACTTTTTTTAAGTGGAACTTACTGGTTCTGAAAAATGTCCAACTGACAGTCCTGGAGACTGAAAATCTGTGGTTCATTCATTGAAGAGGAACACAGGTAGTGGCAATGAAAATTACTTCATCTGACACGACTACGCAATATCTTAAATTCTGGACTAAGGGAACCAGCTCCATGAATGACAAGGGTTCAGTTTTCAAACCCATTCAATTCTGCCAATGATGAAGGTTGTTTTGAGAATACAAACAGCAATGCACAAGGAACCAAAATGAGTTTGTGGTTTCAATTCACCAACTATTGTTAGACTGTAAAGATATCTGATAGCTACTGATCTGGATTGGATTCTAAACTGATGAACTCAATGCAAAAGGCTCCTAACGAATTACCAAATCCTCAGTGCAACCGAGACCAACTGACAACCTATTTTAGCACAGTGAAAAAGACCGTCTCCTGCACGTGGAAGTTAAGTATACCATCTGTATTAGACAGCATCCTCTTCACTCTGTGCTTCAAGTAACAAAGAAGATCTTTCATGTGGCCCTTGAGCCAACTGGAAATTTGTGGTTATATTTTTAAAGAATTGTACACAACTCAGTTAAGGAGTACTTTGAAAAGTAACCAAATAAAGGGTAAATCCTGGCATAAAATACAAAAGGATACCCATAAAGGCATAATTAGATCTAAAAATGCTCCTAAATTATGTCTGTCTCAAGGACTTGGACAAGTGAAAGACAGAGTTAGTACTGAAGGAGATACATTTACAAGAAGACAACGAAACAGAAATATTTGTAATAGAAGTGCCTCCAAATCATTTGGTTGACAAGGAGCTTTACTGATCCCATCACCGGCATCACAGCAGTATTAATTCTGTACTTTTTTAGAAATCAAGACTTGTAAATAAATAAAACCTTTATTCATCCATCTTCCCCCTACAACAGTGAAAAACGAACAGACCATTTGATATGCAATCACTTCATTACTAGTATAATACAGTCTCAGCTTTTTGAAAGCGAAGCTCCATTCCTCCCCATAGGAAAATTAAATCCATCATTCCCTGCCTCCAACCCTAACACATGTTGTTAAAAGCCAATGAGCCTTTAAAATCTTAATTTATATACTTTCAACATTTCCTCCAGCCCAAGTTAGTCCTTTGCACATGCCACCAACTTTGGGGAACACTGGAATAGATAGATCTTCGTAATATACTTCCTTTCCTGTTTTACGTGCATTGAGCAGTGTAATAGCTAAGACTACATTTTAGTTACGAGTATTTTTAGTAAAAGTCATGGACAAGTCAGGGACAGTAAACAAAAATTCACTGCCTGTGACCTGTTCATGACTTGTACTATACACCTGACTAAATACTGGGAGTGCTGCGGACGCTGGGTGGTGGTGGTCCGGGGAGCGCCGCAAATACACGTGCTGAGGGAGCAGTCCGGGGGGCGCCACTAGTGCTGGGAGCATGGTCCGGGGGTGAAGGGAAGCACCGCAAATGGCGAGGAGCCTGGGACTTCCGCTGGTGCTCGGGAGGGGGTTGGGAAGCTCCCTACCCAGCTTCTGGGATGCAGCGACATGTCCCTCCCTAAGCTCCTAGCTCTGCACGCTGCCAGCTCTGCAGCTCCCATTGGTCAGGAACAGCGGCCAATGACAGCTGCGGGGGCGGAGGCAGCAGGCAGAGCTAGGAGCTGAGGGAGGGACATGTTGCCATTTCTGGGGAGCCCCCCCCAAGGTAAGCTCTGCCCCTCCCACGCCCCAAGCCCACCACCCAAATTCTTCCTGCGGTGGCCGAAAACTGCCCCAGCAAAGGTTGGTGTGATTGGCCCTGGCTCAGGCAGCCCTGGAGCCAACACCACCAGCCACTGCAAAGTCACAGAAAGTCACGGAATCTGTAACTTCCGTGACAAAATCATAGCCTTAGTAATAGCTAACAGCGTTAATATTTAGAGAATCATCATTGGCATTTGAGTTAGCCCCTATTGAAATGACTGAGGCAATTCACAGCTAGAATTATTGTTTTGGGTTGGCTGTAAATTTAGATAGACACTCCAAACTGGTTATGCTGACTTCCCATTTTGAAGATTTTCTTTTGAACATAACAGAGAGAGAGAGACTTATTTTTAAAAAGGTAAAATATGAGTCTGGAGAACAACTGCGTAGACCAGGGGTCGGCAACGTTTGGCATGCGGCTCGCCACGGTAAGCACCGTGGGGGGCCGGGTCACTTTATTTACCTGCTGACGCGGCAGGTTCGGCCTCTCGCAGCCCCCACTGGCTGCGGTTCGCCATCCCGGGCCAATAGGGGCGGCGAGAAGCGGCATGGGCGAGCGATTTG